ATATGAGGTCACTTTTGCCTGCCACGAAAAAAAATGACCATGTAGGAAGTGCGATAAGGTAGCTGGAGGACTTTCGTTTATTGGTTTAGTGTAGGTATAGGAATAATGGATGGCAAAAGGGAGAGATAGTAAAGTGGTCGATACAAATTATTTCAGTGAAGTAGTTAAAAAATTTGATGATTATTGTATGGCAGCTCAAGTGGGTTTTTACGTCTATCACGTTTTCTGCGCGTGGTGTAACATTTTTTATCTTTCGTTTATTCAAGACCAGGAAAAATTAATATCAACGGAAAACATATCGCACAAAACTTCGATATTACTTAAGGAGAATTGGTGGTAAATCCGCCTGATAGCGTGGCAAATCGTTAATTAATCAAACAATTTAGGACGCTGTCCGACGAATATGCAGAACAATTAATTAATCAATTTATTATACCATAATAATTAATTAATCCTCCATGGTAACGTAACTCTTGTTAGCTTAAGTTGACAGGGCAATAAAATTCGCAAGGTTTAAGATTTACTGCCTAGGAGGGAATTATGCAGAAAAATGCAGGACTGTGTCAGTTGCTTAGCGGTCGATTGGAAGCCATAACCAATAGGCGTTTAATGGACATTTTATTCGGTGTCAAGCCGACTCTTTTTGCGGCAGAGCCTAAATACGAGTCTTGAATCATCCGCAAGCACCGTTTCTTGCTCAACACTTAATCATCAGTAATCAGTACTGACCCATTGGCTGAAGATTAAGAAACTGCTAGCTAATTCAATCTTGTTTGTTTGCGACTCGAAATTTCCACACACCTCTAATATAATTTATGGCCCCGCCAGTAATAAACAATCTTGCGATAAGGGACTAAGGTAGTTTTAATATTTGCTTTGTACCAGCGCGCTTATAAAACTAGGCGGTGATTTTGTAATTCAACCGGCGGCTCAACTGGGATCACGCCGATAAAGCGATTGTAAAGCAGGGCATTTTTGAAAAGATTCACTTGGAGACGCGAACTTTTTCGGCTATAAAATAATCACCGTGATTAGCCGAAAAAAATTTTAAAGTAATAAGTCTTTAAAATATGCTTTAGCAAAAAAAACAATCTCAAATCTGTGTCCGATTGGAGTTTGCGGTAAATCTCACCAGAACCCTCTTAATTAATGGGGCAAATTATTACAGGGCATTTTTCAGATCGAGCGGTTTTTAATGTTTACTTGATGCGTATCGCAGAATAATTATCAGTAGGTAAACTATTTCGTTGGCACATTTATCAAATTTCAACGAAGTGAGTTCTAGTTTTCCGTTCCTTTCTAGTTGTCAGCTGAAGACAAAAAACCTTAAAATTTAATTGCTCTTTCGCAAAAAGGTTTCGGAAAATTAATAAATTGCTTAATACTTCATTTGTTAGGAACTTGGACTTGATGGTAACAAATTTCGAACCAAAAAATGCCTAAAAAATATATTTCAAAGCAAAAGCACTTTTAATTAAGTTGAAATGTTCTCAGTTTAGCTTCCAGTTGCCTGAGCAAATTAACTTGAAGCACTTAAGGATGATTCCAAATTGGCATCATTCTTAACTAATCTCGAACTTTTGACTGTAAATCGTTTCTCAATCGGTTATTCGATTTGAATACTTTTTTGCGAATCATAGCTCAATTCTAGAACAAAAAAAGTAAGAACATTGTTAAATAGTGTCAATGTTTTAAATTTTCTTGGTCAAAGTTTAAACCCGTCTGAGGGTAACTCAGACGGAAAAAGTATACCTACGTTGTTATAGCCGCATAATTTTCTGCCATTTGAGAGATATGCATTCCTTTACGCTTTTTTTTATTCATAAGAACACTGTGCATTGAAAATTCTGATTATTTTGTCACGCATTGAACTCTATAAAAAAACAAAAAAAAACATCTCTTGAGGCGTCAAAACAATAATACATTATCCTTAGGATAACAAAAACTTTATCAACTTAATGCTTAATGACAGGGCACAGAGAATCACAAAATAAATTTGTTTGCACAACTTTTAGTCGCAAATATAAAAAAGTTTCAGGACATTTCGCGCGGAAAATGTGGCCGGTGATTAAAATAAATTAATCTCTCGAATAGCTCAGGCTAAGCAAACGACTAAACTTTGAGCAAGAAAAGAGGGCAGTATTTAAACACCCTGTACAATGTGTTTCTTTCATTGTTTTAGCTTACTTTCAAACTTAAATGTTGTACATACAAGAATAAAACTGTGCTTCCTAAAAAAAAATGGGAAACTGGTCAGCAAATTTAAAAATATTCACAGCCAAAAGTTAGATAATATTTAAGCATGTATATTATAATACTTAGTTAAAATTAGAGATAACTACCGCAAAAGAGTCTATTGGATCATGGAAGCACATTTATTTATTTCCTTTTAACTAGCATTTGTAATACTGATTTAAGATTAAGAACGCAGTTTATTTTAGGAATTAAAAGTAGGGACGATTCTCGTGGTTTTATTAATAGAAGTTAAAGGAAGATATATGAAGATATATAATATGAAACTCATTAAGCAAGACGGTTTTGGAGCTGTACTTACGTGAAATATTTTGGCAAACTGTATTTCTTACCCTTTAATACTCACTTGCTTTACAGTTAAACATTGAGAAAAAAAATAACTGCAAAACTTGTTTCAACTTGCCACGCATGCAGGCAGATGTTTGTCAACAGACGTTACATTTGTGGTTTGTCAAGTGTGCTCTTCAAAACTTAAAATGTATAACAATGTTGAACATTTATAAAGTTTTCCTTTCATGGACCGGCTATAAGTCGGTTCAATCTGCTACTCGCAACTTTTAGTAAACTATCGGTATACGTAAATATTGTAAAAAAAACATTGCAAAATATGTTTGGAGTGAGGGCAAATTTTTAGTTGAAAATACATATTATAATTCTATAAATATTTTAAATACAAAATTACAATGAAACCGTGCATCCATGAAAATTTTTTGAGAAGCAGCCTTGCAAAGTATGTAGGTATGGTTAGAATTTAATTGTTCTCTTCAAAAGTACAAGAATACCTTTCTACATAAGTAAAATATTCCACCTGATAGATGCGCAAAATAAAGATATTTTTTGCAAGCAGATTGATTCTTCTGGAACAGTAGAAGTTCCAGTAATTGAGCTACTGAATCCTGAAGTTTTCCTTGTTATTAAAGACTATCGGTGCTTTAAAGTTGAATAATATTTTTGCTATAAACTATTTGCTGTAAAGCGTACTATCAACTTCGCTTATTTAACTCAAAAAATATTTGCTTTAAAATGCCATCAGACCCAAAGTTAATACTGAAGCTGAGGTCATAAAGTTTGAAGTTCGGGGATAAATTGGGGACCGTCATGTGTTAAACTCTTGTAATGAATGTATTTTATTGAAATACAAGCCTTTATATATCTTTGCTTTGGCAGCTCAATTGAAAAAACTAGGATTTGGAGCATTGAATTATTCTCAACTGGTAAGAGCCACAAACTTTATGACTGAATCACTGAGATGATCTCTGTATATCATCTGTTATTAGTCGTAGCTTCGAATTGGAAAACCCCATCTATCTGTCATACTTATCAGCGATTCTACTCGAAGAGTGTTTGAACATTTTAAATTATTACATTTACAACTCATTATTAATTTTTTTTTGTATTTTAGATGATTAAGTTTGTATGGGCCAACGGGCTTCGGATTCTTCCTGTGAGCGATTTGATAAATAGCTAACCTACTTTGGCCATGTTTTTTATATCCAATTACGGTTTTCTGGAGATATTTCTTATACTCCTGGTTACTGTATTAAGTATGTCTAGTCAACGTGAGGATTTTTGGGCTATTTACTTCTTACCAAATTATCTAGAAAAAAACCGAGATACATTTAAGCGGTATCGGTAGAAAAACATTTGGTAGTAATAAATTTATGTAATTTTCAGGAAACCTTGAACCGTGCAGTCCTCACCAGTTCGAATGCATCTTCATAAAACAGTCATCGAATGCTGATCCATCAAGGTAAGATCTTCATTTTATGACTGCAAATCCCTGGATTTTTTTCGCTGAAATATATGACGGGTCCGCGTCCCACCTCTGCTGATGTATCGGCATTTAATTCGCCCGATTAGAAGCGGACAAATAAAACCTGGCCGAGTTTGCGATAATGTTAGCATGTAGACACACACTCCAGAGTGTTTGAAAAAAATGTACTTGAGAGTGACTGTTGACGCAGTATCAGGTGAGAGTGGTGGACTTTTCCTTCCTCAGACCTAAATCTCAAGAGGCCCATTCTAGTGGGTTCACTATCAATAGCAACCGATTTCTTGCGAAGAAAGCCTCTAATACCGGACCTTCCCACAGTCATGTGCAATAATAGTTACGAACCGCAACATAAATATCAAGCAATAATGCACCAGGCGGTCATAGGCTGACCCTGTGACATTTAAGAAAGTCGAGAAGGTCAAGAGATGCGCCCGAAGAAAACAGGGACACTTGAAGATGGGCACAAAACTATGACCGAAAGTTTCGGTCTGATGTCACCCCGGTTTATCGTCGTTTTATTTCCATAAACACACAACTGGCAAATATTTGAGTTTCGACACGCTATGTATCACCGTTTACCTTTGGATTTGGCATAGATGTGCTTGGCACCAGATTAGATAAAACTAAGGTGAAACTGATTCAAAATGACTTTCCCGAAAAAAAATCCTGACATTATTTGAGAAGGCTTTCAGCGTGTTTGCGTGCACTAATTTGCTATGCAAGTCCGGTCTCGTGGCAAACCAGACAGATGGTGCAACTTTTCACCATTTGAAAAAAACTACCTCGAACGGGGTTGCTGAGTGGGTATTTAAAAGAAGAGGCGTCCGATTTAGGGGACAGCAAAGTGTGGCTGATGACTTAATTTGAATGTTTTTCCTCTGCGGCACACGACTCGGATTGTGCCGGTTCTTCTTCTCTCCTTTGTCCACCGTAATTTATGGCCTCTTAAGCTGCTACCTGAGTACCTGGCCGTCTTAAATTAGATGTGACTTCTGACAATACAATGGAAAACATTGTGGTATCATTACTGTAATAATCACTGGCTGACCCTTCCTGGTGACATTTCACTAGCGTTTGCTGAAGAAATCGAAGGACCGCCTTAACATTGGACACTCAAAAATGTTTAGCTTTTACTGGGACCCTTGGACTTTTGGTGACAATTAAAAATTTAAATCGCCTAAATACAATCAGCACATTTATGTGCAAAGCGGTTTGTTTAAATATCACTAACTACTGGTAAATCAATGACGGTTCAGCAGATTGCTTCGTTTCTTCAGCACGGCCTTCAAACTACTTCAGGTATATTTGCTTTTTTGCCTTAACCATTATGTCGTAACCGAAGTTTGGCACCTAGATGTTTGACTGTGTCTAATTTTTTACAGCAAAGCAAATTTGCTTAGCTAAATGGTCAATTAGTGGTGTGCAGTGTGTACCCAAAGTAGCCAGCTGCTTGGCTTCTGATGGAGGAAAAAATGACGCTCTACTAGGCGAAAGATTTTGAAAAGACTTCGAAGTGTCCTTATTGAAGAATTTCTCAAGAAAAGTTTCTGCTCTCGAAAAGCTAGAACATAGTGTTTTCGTAAATTTACTGGTTCTGCATTTTTTGCCACAGATTCTTTTGGCCCCCAACTCAATTAGAAGCAGGATTCGTAGTCTGTTCTTTGCCAGTATGAAAATTTTTCTGGTTAAATTGATCATGAAAAGTTTCTCTTCCTCAAAAAGCTAGAAACCAGTGCCTTCGCAAGCTTACTGGTACTGCAAAAAAATAATTTCCTCCACGGCTTCTCTTCGTACTCAACTCAATTGGAAGCAGGAGACAGCAGTAGGCTATTAGGCCTACAGCTTATCTCCTATAGGGCATTTTTCGATTTTAAAGCTTTAATATCTTCAGCTGATTTTCAAAAGAGCAATTTTTTAAAGAAATTCCTAGGAGATTATCCCACGGCCGCTCGTGAAGAAATTGCTGAAGATATATTTTTTTTAAATTCATGAACAAAAACTCCGTTTTCCATTTCGCAGTTTTGAAACGTATTTGTTTAAAAAGACTCAATCCCCATTTACTCAAGCCCCAAAGATGTTAATGTAAGCTAAAAACCCTTGATTTCAGCTTCATCATCAGAATATGTTCTACTTCCAAAACATTTTTCTACCCTTTACTATTCTTGTATCTTCCCTCATAAAGCTTTGCCTCAGTTGCGACTGTATTGCCAAATGTAGGTATGATGCAGCTGAGGAATGAAACATTACCTACAAGCAAATAAAGAGCGGGATTCGATTCTTCTTTTCTCCAAAAAAACTTTCTCTTAAAATCCAATTTTTTTCAGTATTAAAACTACAAAGCCACCGTTGTTGCTGCCCAAAAAAAAACTCCAGACATCAGTGGCGATCACAAACCTTCTCGAAACAATTAAAATTCTCCTTGACTAATTAACACGTTTTTTTATTGAAACATAATTAAAGCGTCTTCAATTAGCAGCGGTTTTATTATTGTTTTTTTGCCAGTGAATGCGGGGGTATTATGGGCGCCAATTTTGTTCAATAATAAGAATCCACGAGCGGTAGCACTGCGACATGATTTCTTCTAAATGAAAGTCCTGTCGATCGTTTATATCCGCCATTAAAGTGCAGTAATGAACAAGGTACTAATTGGATATATGAAAAAAATCGATAAAATTATAAACTTATTATTTCCTCGATCTAATGGCAGATTTCAATTAAAAACGAAGCGCAAAAAATTGAATTATCCAATGTCCAAGTACCAATAAAAATGTTGCAAAGCGAGAAGCGGTGAGAAGAACCAATGACAATTAGTTGAAAGAAGCTGCGTGTTTCGGCGAATTTGCCCAGAAGAAAGAGCAGTTTTTCAATAAAGGCTTGCTTGGTGTTTTGAGGAAGATTACATTTTTCTATCGATCAAACAAAAATCGATGATTCATTGTTGACGGTGGTAATCAGGCACCTTTCTTTCGATCTAAATTAATTTCAGGGGTGGTTCTTGTTGTGAATGACCTCGTCCAGTGCCCGAAGGGTGATCGACCGACCGGAAAAGTTATCATGCCCATTGTAAATGAGCCTCGTGTTGTTTAATCGTTATTTCCCGTAGTAAACGTTTTTTTTTCAGCTCAAGTTATTGAAGAGGAAAACGAATTTAATGCCAGTTTTTCATCCGATATGTGTAGGTAGCACCTACTCCCTTCAGCCTTTGGCTTTTTTTCGAAGATCTTTCTTCAGCTTGTCTACCACAAGTTCACTTTCAAGGTACAAAGGGACAAACCCACTTCAAATTTTACATTCAAGGGTTTTTTGTAGCCCTGTGGGCAAACTTAACCCTTTGGCTTGTCCTATTGGGGTGGGCAGTGGTCATTGCTAGAGCTAGACCAGGAAATAACAGGTAAACTGACTGTATAACGAACTTTTAATTTCTCCTATTGTGCGGTGGGATTTTCATGGGAAATTTTTGACTTTTTCTACACGAAATCCCCAGTTTATCAGTCATTCAGTTTGGAATAAATGGGTGCGATATTTTCAATGCGACTTCAACCCCATGAGCACCTTGCAACTCTTCCACGTGAAAGTAGAAAAATTGGGCTTCAACTTCACAACATTTTACTAAAATCCATGTACTCGGTGAATTTGTGGAAACTTCCACAACAAGGCAACATACAAGCTTCCATAAAAATAGATTTTTACCTTCAACCAGAAGCAGCAGCACAGTGCGACTTTTGTAAGAGAAAAGAGAAAGAGCAGACTTCAACTTTAGAAAATGTAACTGAAATCCACATACTCTTTGATTTTGTAGAAACTTCAAAACTTGACCCTTCTAAAACGCCGGGAGGGCAACTTGCAAGCTTTCATAGAAATAAATGTGTACGTTTAACCCGAAGAAGCAGCACCTCGCAACTTTTGTACGACAAAGTAGACAAATTGGACTTCAACTTCACAAAGTTTAGCTAAAAGCCAGGTACTGTTGATTTTTTAGAAACTTTCTTCTAAAACGGCGTTAAGGCATCTTACAAGCTTCCACAAAAAAAAATATGTAGGTACGTTCAACCCGAGGAAACAGCACCTCGGAACTTTTACACGACAAAGTAGAATAATTGTGCTTCCAACTCGCAAACCTCACTAAAATTCACGTTCTCCCTGATTTTTTAGAAACTTCCAAAAAGTGCAAAAGTTGCATTTGGTTCGGATGCTACAATCCGCTGTTCAATGAATTTACTTGAATGTTTATACTTTCATCTCCTTCTATTTTTAGTTCAATTAATTGTTTTTTTCAATTAATTTGCAAGTTTCTTCGATGATTATTGATTCTGTTTTGGCTTTTTGCCGTTGGCTAACACCGCACTGTTTCTTATCTCGATGCGGGATTATCTTATGCTATGGAGGCGACTTTAATATATTCGTGAAAACACAGAATTCAGAGGGAGCAGGATGGTAGTTTTGCTGGGTTCAACGGCAATCTTTTTGGTATTTTACGTTTAAAAATAATTGACATTTATCCTATTGCTAAAGTACAAACAGTATGAATACGACTAAAGTGAAGGCTTTAAGAAAGAGATTTAATTTCTTCATTTTCTATGACAGGAACTGACTTTTTTTGGCCAAATAAAGAGACAATTGGAGCGAATAACGCGTTCTGTTGGAACTTGCAACATGACAAGAATGAACTCAATTCAATTGAAACATCTTGATTTTATTTCAATTGCGTTTTTTTTTAAGCTGAAAGGTTTGAATCAGTGAATTTCGGTAGTCGTCCGGACTTAGCGGGAAAATTTGGTTTGAATGATTCGTCAGAATCGAAAAGAATAAAAATGTTCTAATTCCTTTCATGAGCAAGTTTTCATTAAATATACACAAAATTTGCATTTATTGCCATTAGAAAATACTCCATCCTATTTAGTCGCACTAAGATCACAAAATCCACGCAGCTTTACACGTACGTTCCTGATTCAATTGCAGCAATAAAAATGTTGTTTTTTTCATTTAGTGAACTTAACTTCCATTTTTTTTCGAGATGAGACGAAGTGATGGATTTTCACATTTTCAATTCACTTGGAAGCAAGAGAGTTTCTCAAATTTCACCGTCAAGAATGCAATTTTTCTGCTAACACGCTAAAAGTTTTCAGTGACTAGGTAGATAGAAGGCATTAATCGAATTAAACTCTTAACTTCACTGGAAAGAGAATAATTTAGTTCTGTGAAACTAGCGCGATTCTATTGGGAAAACTTGCAGGAATTGAGCTGCTTCTAGGTAAATCGTTCCATTGAAAATCTTGACCCAGCAGGAACTGAAATCTTTAACCCTGTTAGTTAAAAAGATAGATTCAAATTTTCGAACATCATCCTGCATGCTGCTTTGAGATGGACACATGCGAAAACTAAGTTCATAATAGCCACCTGATCATTTTGTACTTCACAAGCTGGACTGTAATTAGAAATTTTGGAGTGAACGTTTAAATGGTCTTTTGCATGTCCTGCCACCCGTCCGAAAGAACTAATTTGAACGAAAGCAGCTGAAATTTTAGTGTTTTTTTACAGTTAGCAAAATAACCATCGGGCAAAACTAAGGCAGACACTGGAAAAAAATATATTAGCAAAATTTTTTTCGGTTAACTAGCACGATTTGGAGCTAGAGAATCCACTTCTTCAGAAAATTCGCATCCTATTTGCTGCTGATGTCACGTTGCGAATAAAAAGCGACAGGTGAAATCGTGATGTAAAGACACCGTCGGACCGTCAGCTGCAGCTTCAGCTCAATACATAGCGACAAATAATAAGTGAAATTTCCTTACCTTGAGCGATCCTCACTGCCGGCATTTTAATTCTCATCTTGGCAACGGTATGAGTCTCTCTCGGCCCCAAAAAAAACCTAGTTCATCATCGGACAAACTGAACTAAGGGCGCGTAAAAACACCAAGGAATAAAATTGAAAAAAAAATTGCACGCAACACTACAAACTCCTGCTAAATCATCACTGTCCTGTTGGTCGCACGCGAAAAATTGCCGGTCTCGGAAGACATCGGCGCTCAGCTGCGCTCGTGTCCAAACCAGTCGAAGAATCAGCAAAAACAATCCGCAAACTGAGATGAAGAGCGCTCTCGCCCGCACGTAAAAACCTGTGTTTATGCGTCGCGATCCTGCTCTGAAGCTGAGACTTTCCTGGACCGCTGGCGATCTCGATGGTCCAAACGCGTGTGCCGTATCTTCATCCACCGGCCAGCTTCAGGCCCCTTGGTTACTTCGGCCCCAATCGGCACCGTTCGTGGCTGCTCGCGCCGGCTACTTACTAGCCAGCGGTCCCAAAACGTGTGTGTGGTGTGCGCGTAGTGGTGGGGAGGGTGCGCGCATCCCCGGAGTGGGGGCGAAGGGCTAACGGGCATCCGGAAGTTACGATCCGGTAAATGGCTCCGGTGAGTTTGCGGCAACATTCCGCCAAATGCGCTCCCCAGTTGCGGTTTTTTTGCACCGTAGGAACCGCGCAAAAAGCTGCGTTTTCACTAGTGGTGGGAAAAATGTAACTATTCGTTGCCCGAGTACTCGTTACTCATCCGGATGCGAAGTAACGAACACTCCACCAAACTGTAAAAAGATTATTCAAGCCCTCAATGTGGGAAAGAGTCAAGTATCAGTCAGGAATCGTGACATGCGAGTCCGAATCCGAACTCGTTACTAATCGCACTCACTCAAGAGTAATTACTAGGCCTGGGTACCACTGTGTTCAGTTGTTGCCGCTCTCTGAGTTAAAAATATATAAAGTTATAACTCATCGGATCATGAGTTATAAGTCTAACGCTTTTAAGTTAAAAATTAAAGCTTTACGAGTCCCGGCCATTAACATTTTGTCCCGGAAAAAGGTTAGGTATATTTTCCCAGCAACAGACCTAAGTCCAAAGAAAGTCGACTAGTTTTCTTGTAAAATCGATCTCTTAATTTGTTTGCATAAAATATTCAGTTTGCCAGAATTTTTCAGTAAAATGTTAGGAAAACCGCGGTTTTTCTGTTTAGAGACAGTGTTGTTTATAAATATTGCCCTAAACGTGAGAAAATTCCAGTTTCCAAGGGTTTTCCAAATAATTGATTATAAACTTTCGCTTTTTCAGTTCGGGGAAATATTTTTGGAAAAAGACCGAGAAATAATTATTAGGGTTTTGTCCATAATTCGAAGTTGCAAAAAGTTGTTCAAAAATGTTTGCAAAGTGGTTAAGGAGGCGAGTGTTCCAACGAAATGTCTCTTATAATTTTTCACAGAAAATACCTGAATACAAGAATTGCTTAATAGAAACTTTGTTAAAACTGGAATGACCTGAAAATTTAAAGGAACTTAAAAAATCTGCAGTCCAATGAGCGATGGCAGCGAATTTTCCAAATAAGTTTTGCTCTCTGATCGTTTTCGGTTTTGGAGAAAACCTTAATGGCTTTCAGGGAAAACGGGAGGAATTTATTTTCCTTTTGTCCCGAATTCAACGCTGAAAAAAGTTTTTGTAATTTTTTTTACAAAGCAAAAGAAAAAAAATCAGTCAAAACTGAAAAACCACTTTTTTTAACAAATCACAGTCTTCAGGGGTATGGAGGTGATGAGATTTCCAAGTAATTTGTTATAAACTTTCGCTTCTCCTGTTCGTTTTTTATAGAAAATTATTTGATTTTTGTGCCAAATTCATAAATGGAAAATACCATAAATTGTCAGGATTTTTAGTGAAACTTTAGAAAATTGAGCATTTTAAAGAAAGAGTATCTTATCAGACTATGAAGGCTTTCACGGCCGGTTAAATCACATTTAGGAATGATTTCCGGGCTTTGAAGTCGTGGTCTATGGAAATTTCTTCCTGACGTTTCGTCCACAACTGCGGTGGACATTATCAAAGGCGATGAGGCAGTGGGCGAAGTGATCTAGTCTAAAACTAGAAAATTCTGAAATTTTGAAGAAATTAAATAAACATTATTAATAAATGGCCCTTAAAATAAATCTAAAAACAAGTTAAAAAAAGTCATCAACATTTTCCCAGCAACGGAACTGAGTTACGCCGCCGATGCGTTGGGTTGGCGTAGCAGTGCGCCAACTCCTAAAAATTCACTGAGTGCCCAAGCCTAGTAATTACTGTTTTTTAATAAACTTTTATTTTATTCTTTATTATATTATTACTTTTTAATAAACTTTTATGGGTGTGTTCACTATAGTGCACCAACACTGGAAATGGGGATGCAGTGTTGGGGTTGAAAACGGTTCTACTATTTAGGGCGAAACGTGACCTCCTAGTGGAAAACATTAAATGCAAAAGTTGTAGATGATAAAAAACTCTAAAACTCTTATATTTAACAGTTTTTGACGAATCCTCAAATTAACCGTCATTCCGATTCTTTTGGGGATGCCAAAGACGAATTCTGGATTTCTAAAGAAAAATGTCTCCCGAATAATTGAGATTCTAATCTTCAACCAGCGCCAGTAATGTTTTTGGTCATTGCGTGTTTCCTCTTGCCAAACCTTTCATAATGGCAATGAAAATATCATTGACTGTGGGGCAGTAAAGTGACGAGAAGAGAAGCTCCGCTCCGGTTGGATAACAACATTATTTCTCTATTGGATTTACGAAAATGTGGACAAACCCAGGATTGTGAAAACGCTTAACTACCCCTTGTTAAATACACTGATCTCATGTTACTTAACAGACTGTCTACTTAACCGGGTAACGAAAACGGTTACAGCTTGTTCAATTTTAGCCGGTTGGGGAACCATTACAAAACGAAATTTACGACATTCTATAAAATAAAATGAAGAAATCAGGCGATGGCCAATGTTTGCGAAGGCATTTCCACGGCCCAATAAACGCTAAGACAGGAAATATTTACAACCTCATATTAAACGCAGTTCAAATAACCAAATCCCGTTGTATATCAGGTCAGACAATATCTTATGGTCATAAGGCTGTTATCAGCTTGTTTTCACAGGTTATCGTGCACATATTTTGTTTGTCTGATGTAGTGGGCTTATCATCCCGCGATAATGCTCTCTGTTCATGCTCCACGGTTACAACCTCCATCAAATCTTTCTTTCCAGGAATTAGATACCTATATTTACGTATAGCGTGTTAATCACTGCGGTCCTTTGTCTGGCATAAAACACCTGATCGATCTCGAAAACTGTTCAAAGTTGCTCGATCCAAATGTGCCGTTAATGCTTGACGCCTCTTTATCGCCCTGTCGGTCATTTTAACACATTATTTCAGTTCATACCTAACCGATTAGATAAATGAAAATCTACTGATCAAAGGCGGGTTTTTCCAAGCAACTGACACGTCGTTGTTAATCATGGACTATTGATGGTTTTACCTGGAATTGTGCGAAAATGTCCAGCTTAATTATTGACTTTTCAGGTGTGCATTTTGGATTAAACGAGTGTTGATAACACTGCCTGAGTTCAAAGCTAACTTATCTCCATGAGGGGAACATTCATGCGAACGGCTAGAAACGGTCTGGTCTGGGCAACTGAAACTGCTGGAATTTTCAGCTACTTTTTTAAAACACATAACTTTTACAACAAT